ATCACAGAAATACCTATACTCCATCATCCTTCACAATGCATTACATTTACCTGTTTACATACTTACCTCTGGTATAAATGAGGCACAGTTGCTAGGGATTAACAGCATATGGAATAATCTCTTAGTACAGACAAGATACCTATTAAATAATTTCTTTTTAAGAGATATTGACAATTCCATCAATTAGTATCTCCTTTATCTTACTATTCTTAAGAGCTCTCCTTTAACATTGTTTATTCCTTAAATTACAGAGCCTAAGACTATATCTCTGCCTATCTTCAAATATTCACTGGCTCTAATATTTCCTTTCCAAATCTCACAATTTGAAAAGAAAACTACTTAAAGTTTAAATGTCTACTACTTTCACTTCCTCTAAAGGATTAAGTATCCCTACAGTATAGTCTATACTCATTTCCTAACTGTCTGCACATTAGTTTCCCTCCTAAGTCCTCAATAAGGAGAACACAAGAGTTACCGGTGCCCTGCTTCGTTTATTTTCAATCCTCAGTTGATACTTCAACCCAGCAAAGAGCCCAACATCATTTTCTACTTTAGTATTTATTTTAATTTCAGAGGAGATAAATTCCTATCTAAGAATTTCTAAAGGACATGAAATCTAAGCATTTCTTTCAATGAACCAAAAGGCGATATAAGACACCTTTAAGATTTTTTCCACTGCAACATTTCTATTAAGAAAATACTTGGGGCCAGCAGGACGGCAAAGCAGTTAAGTGCACACATTCTGCTTTGGCGGCCCAGGGTTCTCCAGTTCAGATCCCGGGTGTGGACAAGGCACCGCTTGGCAAGCCATGCTGTGGGAGGCATCCCACCTATAAAGTAGAGGAAGATGGGCATGGATGTTAGCTCAGGGCCAGTCTTCCTCAGCAAAAAGAGGAGGATTGGCAGCAGATGTTAGCACACGGCTAATCTTCCTCAAAAAAAAAAAAAAAAGAAAGAAAGAAAGAAAGAAAAGAAAAGAATACATACCATGGTTATTAATATAGACAAATGAAGTCTATTATATGATTGGGTCCAATAAAGGAAAAAATTTCTATTTCTAGTACCAACTCAATGACCACAGCTATTTCCGTCAAAAAATATAACTGGATATTTAACACATTAGCCTGCCCATAAGAGACACGCATGTGATACACAAGTCCTCTGAAATAATATAAAACACTGCATAAAACATCACCTTGAATTACAAATTCACACTTTAAAAACCTGAGTCAAATCATGAGATACTATTTCACACCTACCAAACTGGCAAAAACAAATTCTGAACTAATCAGTGTTGATAAAGACGGAAAGCAACAAAGAATTCTCATATATTGCTAGTGGGAATGTAAACCTGTACAACCACTTCAGAAAACAGTTTGGCGAATATAAAGCTGAAGTTGTAAAATTTCTATGACCCACCAATCTTTTTTTTTTAATTGAGTTAATGATAGGTTACAATCCTGTGAAATTTCAGTTGTACGTTAATGTTTGTCAGTCACGTTATAGGTGCACCACTTCACCCTTTGTGCCCACCCCCCACCCCACCTTTCCCCTGGTATCCACTAAACTGTTCTTAGTCCATAATTTTAAATTCCTCATATGAGTGGAGTCATACACAGATTATCCTTCTCTCGCTGGCTTATTTCACTTAACATAATTCTCTCAAGGTCCATCCATGTTATTGCAAATGGAATGATTTTGTTCTGTTTTACAGCTGAGTAGTATTCCATTGTATATATGTACTACATCTTCTTTATCCATTCGTCTGTTGCTGGGCACTTAAGTTGCTCCCATGTCTTGGCTATTGTAAATAATGCTGCAATAAACATTGGGGTGCATAGGACTTTTGGGATTGCTGACTTCAAGCTCTTTGGATAAATACCCAGCAGTGGGATGGCTGGATCGTATGGTAGTTCTATTTTTAATTTTTTGAGGAATCTCCATACTGTTTTCCATAGTGGCTGCACCAGTTTGCATTCCCACCAGCAGTGTATGAGGGGTCCTTTTTCTCCACAACCTCTCCAACATTTGTTACTATTAGTTTTAGATATTTTTGTCATTCTAACAGGTGTAAGGTGATATCTTAGTGTAGTTTTGATTTGCATTTCCCTGATGATCAGTGATGATGAGCATCTTTTCATGTGCCTATTGGCCATCAGTATATCTTCTTTGGAGAAATGTCTGTTCATGTCTCCAGCCCATTTTTTGATTGGGTTGTTTGATGTTTTGTGGTTGAGTTGCGAGAGTTCTTTATATATTAAGGATATTAAGCCTTTGTCAGATATATGACTTGCAAATATTTTTTCCCAGTTAGTGGGTTGTTTTTTTGTTTCAATCCTGTTTTCATTTGCCTTGAAGAAGCTCTTTAATCTGATGAAGTCCCATTTGCTTATTCTTTCTATTGTTTCCCTTCTCTGAGAAGGCATGGTGTCCGAAAAGAGCCTTTTAATACTGATGTCAAAGAGTGTACTGCTTACGTTTTCTTCCAGAAGACTTATGGTTTCAGGTCTCATCTTTAGGTCTTTGATCCATTTTGAGTTTATTTTGGTGAATGGTGAAAAAGAATGGTCAATTTTCATTCTTTTACACGTGGCTTTCCAGTTTTCCCAGCACCATTTGTTGAAAAGACTTTCTTTTCTCCATTGTATGCCCTCAGCTCCTTTGTCAAAGATAAGCTGTTCATAGATGTGTGGTTTTATTTCTGGGCTTTCAATTCTGTTCCATTGATCTGTGCACCTGTTTTTGTACCAGTATAAAATGGGTGAATTTTATGTTATGTAAATTATAGCTCAATAAGGCTATTTTTTAAATTAAGTCAATGATTGATGAGGGACTGAGAACTCTTTTAGTGCAAGGTAACACCACGCAAATCAGTTTCCTGTTGCAAGAAGAGAAGACTTACTGTTTAATATATGGATTGGACTACCATCACCTTAATCCAAGGATCAATCCTAGCATTACTAAAGTAGGTCAACCAGGTACTATGTGTTTTACAACGTGATGCAAAATGAGATAGAACTATGATGCATTCTAAGGAAAAATGTTTAGATGTGACTCTCTCAAGCTTTTAACTGTAAACTTGAGAGAAAAATACAGGAATTAAAGGAACAAATTAAATGATACCAGAAGAATGCAACTGTACAAAACCGTTCTCAGGACAACTAGTCCAGTCTCAAAGTCAGTGTCACTGAAAAATAAGGACTATGCTAAGCTAAAGAGACATAAGGAAATTAAACTGTTATATACCACAAGGTCCAAGATCAGATATTAGTTTGGATAGCTGGCTGTAATGAACATTTTTTTGAATAAGGAAAGGAAATTTGAACAGCCCCTGGATATTAGAGGAAATAAACATTTACTCACATGAAGAGAAGATATCACTGACTAAAAAAGCAAGTTGCAAGTTGATCTCATTTTAGCAAAATAAAAATAAAAACCTGCATATACGTGCTTAGAGAAAGATCTGTGGAAAAATGCACCAGAAGTTATTAACAGTGATTTCTGGATGATGGGAATGTTGAGTTTTCATTTTTGCATATCTATATATTCTAATAGTCTACAAAGGACATATACTGCTTTTGTAATAATAAAACAATTATTAGAAGACAGAATCATGTGGACAGCTTTAATAAATCTAATGATGCCCAGGCCTTACCCCAGATAAATTTTAAAAGATTGAGAACTACTGCTTTTAAAAATTAGGAGTGGAGGGGCTGGCCCCGTGGCTGAGTGGTTAAGTTTGCGCGCTCCGCTGCAGGCGGCCCAGTGTTTTGTTGGTTCAAGTCCTGAGCGTGGACATGGCACTGCTCATCAAGCCACGCTGAGGCAGAGTCCCACATGCCACAACTAGAGGAACACACAACAAAGAATATACAGCTATGTACTGGGGGGCTTTGGGGAGAAAAAGGAAAAAATTAAAAAATCTTAAAAAAAAATTAGGAGTGGATAGGGGCTGGCCCCGTGGCAGGGTGGTTGAAGTTCCGCAGGCTCTGCTTGGGTAGGCTGGGGTTCGCGGTTCAGACCCACTCCACTCACTGGCCATGCTATGGAGGCATCCCACATACAAAGTGGAGAAGATCAGCACAGATGCTAGCTCAGGACAAATCTTCCTCACAAAAACACACACACACAAAAAGAACTGGGAGTGGATAAAAGGTAAAATTCTTGTCTAAGACTGTCTTTAAAAAAGACATGCATGGGGCCGGCCCGGTGGTGCAGCAGTTAAGTGCGCATATTCCACTTTGGCGGCCCGGGGTTCGCCGGTTCGGATCCCAGGTACGGACGTGGCACTACTTGGCAAGCCATGCTGTGGCAGGCGTCCCTTGTATAAAGTAGAGGAAGATGGGCACAGATGTTAGCTCAGGGCCAGTCTTCTTCAGCAAAAAGAGGAGGATTGGCAGCAGATGTTAGCTCGGGGCTAATCCTCCTCCTCCTCAAAAAAAGACAGACATGCATGGAAGTTTTTCACTTCACGAGTTAGGAGACTACCCTATATAGAACCAGTAACAAAATCTTCTAGAAGGAGCAAATTATATTAGCCAATTTCACAAGTCAGGATCTTTGGCTGAAAAAAAGAAACCATGTTTAGGTCGATGAAGCAGAAAAGGAATTTATCAGGATACTGGGAGTTCAGAGAATGAATGAGAACTTCTTTGACCTGGCAAACCTGCAGTAACCAAGTAAAACTCAGCAGTCAAAATCATCAACCAAGGTCACACCACAGGAAGAGCATGCTTAGGAAACTGCTCTGCTAGCAATGCCACTGCTACCAGCTGATGGAATGAATTCTAAACTGTCCTTGCTTCTTTGCATCTTTCACTCCACATGCAAGTCCCTAGTCAAGTGTATTTGATTCACACAGCTTGGGTGACAGCTGCCAGGGGTCCGGGACAGACAGTGTATCTACAAGATATGTGTATGCATACAAGTTAACACACACAGCCTTTCCAGCTTTCTTTCCCACTAAGAAACACAAAAAGGCAATAGTGGAAGGGGCTTAATGCGTCTGCTCGAACAGGCACGGCCTGATCTGGAAGTACGGCCTCAACATGTGCCGCCAGTGCTTCCGCCAGTACGCCAAGGACATCGGCTTCGTGAAGTTGGACTGAGTGACCTTCCACGAATGGGTTATTCGAGACATCTACCGACGGCAGAAATGATGCTAGTTATTTGTACATAAAAAAAAAAAAACTTCAACAAAAAAAAAGGAACGGGCTTAAAATGGTAAAGAGACAAAAGAAACAATAAAAATCACTTTAAGGCTCAAGTGGTAGAATGTTCAACACAGGAATTCTGCCAGTCTTCCCATTAGTAATAATCTTTAATCATTCTGCCTTCTTCCGCTTCATTATTCCAGAAAACATTTCCTGAAAGTAAATTTCACAAAGTACAAAATTTTTAAAGAGGAAAATTTATAACCTTTCTCAGGTAATCTCCCTTCCAATATTTTGTCATTCAAATGTCACAACACTTGCTACAACCATACCTAAACACTCACTATCCCACTAAGGGAAACAGAATTTACTTAAATCACAACAGTTCCAAACAAGAATAGTATGTTACAGAAGTACATTTATGACCTAATGCAATGTGACACATTAAATTCTGGCTGTAAGATTCAGATAACTAAGATTTATGTAAGTACCAGAAACTATAAGGTTTTAGAACCAGCAAAAAATGTTTTTACAGCATTTGCTCCAAATGTCACTGTATCAACTACACAACGAAGAAACAAGCCACTTCGTAGTGATAACTTTTATCAAATAGTTGCAGCTACGGTTACTCTGACAGGCTCCAATTTCCTATGAATATAAAATAGGCTATTTGTGACATTTAAAAACTATACAGCTTTTATAATTGAGAGATTTAACAGTAGTAACTACTATATCATGAGACATACATTTTTACTTCAAGTTCATTTTACTTACAAGCATTTCTAAAAATTTCTTCTCAAGAATAAACTTTGCTTCCAATCCAAATATTACTTTTAAGTTAGAGGAGTGGACTCTGGATCTAGCTGGCTCTGCCATGTACTAGCTGTGTGACTTTGGGCAAGTCATTTCACTTCTTTTTGCTTCAAATTCTTATCTGTAATTTGGAGACTACTGGAAACCTGATGATTAAATGAGCGAATATATGTAAAGTACCAAGAATAGTGCCTGGATGTTTTGGGGGTGGAGTGACCGCCTGGCCTACAGTGAGTACTCAATAAGTGTTAAGATTAAAATGCTTAATGGTTGGGGGGGATCAACAACAGGGGGGAAAAAGGCACTTTTGAGAAGAGAAATTTTCAGACCAAATAGGCTGAGATAATTATTCACTAGAAACCAAAACCAAGAAAACAAAACCACTGCAAACCCAGCATATTTAGCTTATTTTTTTTTTTTTTAAGGAAGATTAGCCTTGAGCTAACATCCATGCCCATCTTCCTCTACTTTATATGTGGGATGCCTACCACAGCATGGCTTGCCAAGTGGCGCCATGTCTGCACCCCAGATCCAAACCGGCGAATCCCGGGCCACCGAAGTGGAACGTGCGAACTTAACCGCTGCGTCACCAGGCCAGCCCCTAGCTCAATTCTGTTATAATAAAATAAATATACACTAGGAAGAAATGAAGGACAGGAAACAAACTACCTGGAAAAGTTAATACTGAATTGGGCAGGGGAGCAAACCAAACACTCCATTTTACAAGCATATCGAAGGAGGGTAAATAATCATACAATTAACTCTATGCTGCTCAAGAGAAATTTAAGAAAACGATAGAGATGAGAACCACTGAACAAAATCCCCAAATGCACAGAATCACCTACAAAGTCTTTTCCTCACTCTCCCCCTAGCAAACTCAAATCTTAATCTATGCTTCTATATCCAACTACCAAGTTATAGGAAATCAGGAAAATCTAGAATGTGGGAAACTCTACAGGACAAATGACTGGTTTCTTCAACAAAGGGCAAGGAAAAAAAACATACAAAGAAGCTTGAAAGACTATCAGTCAATTACAGTGTGTGGACCTAGATCCTGATTCAAATAAACTAGAAAAAGTCAACAGTCAAGTACTATCCAAGAAAACAAAATCCAAAAATCAAAGAATTCCACTTGCAACAATCTGTTTACATTTTACCGAATTTCACTCGACAGGTAAAAGAATGTCTATTAAAGACAATTTCATACAGTTTATTTAACAACTATGAAGTAATTACTATAGTCAGGCATTATTTAAAAAACTCTACAAATATTTCATTTATTTACCACAATAACCCTATGAAAAGGTACCATTATCCCAATTTAACAAAGAAAGAAACAGGCATAGGAAACTCACCTAAAACTCCCCCAAGGTCACAAAGCTGTAAATGGCAATGCTGAGATTCAAACCCAGTCCATAAAGTTGGTGCTCTAAATTACTATACATGACTTCTCTCTACATGACGTGGTGGTAGAAATCAAGCTTTAGAAGCAGAGAAAACTGCCTGAATTCCCATCTCTCATTACGTTATACAAATTACTTAACTTCTTGGAACTTTTGTACGCTCACTTGTAGAAGGGTTAATATCATCCATTTTAAACAAGTCTGTTAAGGAATAATGAGATTATATATATTGGACCCCATTACAGCCTCTAGCTTACAAAGCCCACAATAAATGCTTCCCACTACCCTCCCCACCATACTTAGTAAGACTAATTAAAAAGTAGAGCTAATAATTCATAAACACATAGCAGGTACACTGGAATAGCTCCACCTTTTAACTAACTTTTCAATATACTTATAAACTTCAAGGACAGCAATAATTCAGAAGAGAATTTTTTATATATAATGAAATTTAAACTTACAACCAGCAGAAACAAGAATCTGTAATCTAAATTTAAAGTATAGCCAAACTTAAATGAATTTGATTTTTCTGAAAACAAAATTTATTCCACAAAAACAGACCTACCGCTCATAAAAGTGTACCAAAACTTTGTTGATGCTCCTGATTCTCTAGCCTGACATCTGGTTAATACAAGGCAAAGTAGTTTTATCACAGAGAAGGAAGGTAAACTAATGAGTATGTTAAAAATGAACTCCTTTAAGAAAGACAGCTTTCTATGTTGTTATCCTGTGAATATTTTTACGCTTATCTGTTAAACTACTAAGTTCTTTGGTGGCAGGACTGTTTTATGGTCATCTGGGCATTCCTACCCCTGGCACACTGAAACTAGCACCATAGTAGCCTCTAGCATCTCTTAAAATTTGCCCAATAGATCTATTAAAGGCTGATTATTTGCTTTAGTCAAGGAAAATAACTATTAGATTCCTTTAAATGTCTGCCTAGTATATTTGAAATCACCTATAAAAATTCAATTTACATAACACTTGCAATATTTTATCTCATTAGTTAAGATACACCTGTAGACAAAGAAGTTCAGCTCCTCTTACTAAATCATTTTTCAAATTTGATTGTAGGCAGTTTTGTTTTGGGCAGACTTCAGCGGGAAATAAAAATCAGAATCTGATTTAGAAATAACTTGGGCAGCTAGGTCTCAGCACAACCACATATTAAATTACAGACAATAGCAATAACTATATTACTCGTGAGGAGGTATGCACCGCCTAGATTCCCCCCACCACCCGCTACCATCCATCTGAAAAACCATTAATACAAACACCAAAATTTCCCTTTTTCATGAACTACTTTTTTAGTTGGGATCCTTTAAAATTTTTTGTGCCTCTCATCTTTCCAATAGTCTTATTTCCATGGTTAAAGGCAGCAGCCATAATGGTTAAGCATAATGACTTAGAAACAGACTGCTACGGTGTGAATACAGACTCTGCTACTTACTAGCTGGATGAGTCACTGGACTTATTTGCTCAATTAAAAAGTGGGACTAAAACAATATCTACCTCACACAAATTAATAAATATAAAGCACTTCGAGCAACAGTCCATGGCACATTAGAGTTATCACTATTATTAAGTGCATACAATTAAGCATAAAACAAAGATATGCAATCTGCTGAAGTATGATTCAGAATTGTGCATTTTTCTCTTTAACTGAGCATTTAAAAATGAATAAGCAAAAACGTGTCCCAGATTTCTCATCATTCCAAACTTACTAAAATGGTTGCATGTGCCCCTTTCAGCCAAGCTTTTAAACAGCCGCTAATGAAAAATCCAGTAAGCCGAATTCATTCAAAATAAATGGCTTCCTAACATTGCCCCACAAAATTTCAAGAGCTCTGAAATCAAGTGAATGAGAGTTTATATCAATACATACAAACCGTTTTGACTACCCCGAAAAAAAAATTAGAGTTAAGTTCTCACCTAGGTTTATGGGTCGAGTAGGCAACAACGGCAAAACACAAAGCAACTGACATATAATTTTTAACCTTAAATGTTTTTCTGGTACAAACCACCAAAATAATTTAAGAACAACAAAAAAAATCCTAGTAGAACTGACAAAAATGAACTTTTGTGCTGAAAGAATGTCGGAAGGTAAATTGAAACTGACTCCCTAAGAAAGACGACTCTTTATTTTACTATTAATCCCAAAGTTCTCATTCACAATTAGCATTTTATTATTTTATCTTTTAGACAGCCTGCAACTTGAAACTCAAGCACCTTTCCAAACACCGAAGTTCACTGTTTTTGATTTCCATTCTATGCCTTTTGTTTTCAGCTAAACTTCTGGATCTAATGGTTAAAAAAAAAAAAAGCAAACAAAAAGACAGGCTTTTGTTTGAAAGGGCACAACAATCAAGAACCCGGCATCTAACTTTGTTTTCACTTGTCGTCTTCCAATTCTCTAATAAATGTCCCAAACTTAACAGTACTCTAGTTCCCCTTCAAGTATTACACATAAAATAAAAGACCTTACAAAAGGCCAGCAGTTCAAATTACAAATCTAAGTCTACCGAAGACTACCAATCAACTACTTTTGGATGGGATTTACAAAGGAACGTGACTTCTGTTACTAAACTAAAACACGAACGAGCATTAACTCCGTTTTTCCCCCGGTAAGTAATAAATACCAAAGTTAGGAACAAGTACTTCAACAAATATGACAAAGCAACCTCAGAGCACAAAGTTGGCTAATAAAATTAACACCACAGCACAATTTCAAAACCATAAGCAACTATAAAAACAAAAAACAAAAAAACCGCACCCACTCTTATGTAAACTTTTGGAGTAAGCAAACTTCTTTAGCCTCACCTTTGTTTTCACCTACCAAGGACTCTTCAAGATGAGACGCCAATTCCAAGAAGGCCAAAAGATCAAACGATTCAGTTGTTGTCCCCGCAGGAGAAACAACTAAACATTTAAGACATGTTAACGTATTTAAGTTACCGAAGCGCACGGCACTTCCCCAAGCTACAGCCATTTTAGATTCAGCCTTTCCTTTGAATTTCACGGCGGTGGGGAGAAGTAGGTTTAAAACAGAAAAAAAAAAATCCTCGTTGAAACACTTCAAGATCCACCAGCTTTTTTTTCGGGGGAGAGGGGGTCGATAGGTGCTAGACAGACAATCTAAATCAACGAAGACCCCTCGCTACCAAGGAGAACAGCAACGCTGGGGGGGGGGGGTTACAGCTCCTCTTTTCCCCTCAAGACACTCCAAATTAGACTTAAACACGATTTTTTCCTCCTTAGATTTTCCTTCATTGGAAAACAAAAGCCCTTGGCTCCAATTTAAGAAGGAAAGCACAAGAAGCCCGTAAACCGAGACATTCACCCACCAAGCCGGAACGCCTGGAGAGGAGCCAGAGAGCCGCAGGTGAGCGTTCGCCCGAAGACCAAAGTTGAAGTCGCGGCGCTCCGGCCGAGCCGCGGCGACGCTCCAGTGCAAAGCTCCCTAGCGGGGGGAGGTGCCCCGGCCGAACCACACGACCGAGGGCTCCGCTCCCCGCCCCCGGGCCGCCCCACACCCAACCACCTGTGTGAGAGCCTCCTTTAACTTGTCTCAGCAGCCGGCCGGTTAAGGCACCGGGCGGAGCCCTGCTCCGGGAGGACTCAAGATCCCCTACTGCCCAGTTGTGCGGGACTCCCACTCACCTGGCAGCGACGGGGTTCCAGCTAGGGACCAGACGCGGCGTCGGAGGGCGCGTCCCCAGCTTCCTGATCCGGCAAGAGGTGGAGGGCCCACAACCATAACAAAGCTCTTCCCAAAATGGCTGCCCGGCCCACACGGCCCAGGAGGGGCAGAAAGGGTGGAGGGGGAGGAGCGACGACAGCCCCGCCCTCCTCCAATCCGACCCCGCCTCACATACGCCCACCACTCGCACCGCCCACAGGGGCGCACGCGCACGCGCACGAGCCACGTTCGGGTGACCCTGCTGGCGCCTCGCGCCGTCAACGCTCGGCCGCGCGAACGGCGGTTATTCCCTGCCCCGCCCCCAGCTCCTTTCACCGCGGCTCGGGGCGGCGCGCTGTCACCCCCGCCCCTCTGCAGAGGTGGATACTCTGCCTTTCCTCGCGCCGCCTCAGGGGCGGAGACCAACTGAGTTTGGTACTCCCCTTCTAATCCCCCTGCCCAACACGAGGGCCTGAGCGCGTGTAAATGAGTGGGTGTGTATATATGTACATACATGTACCCGTTTTTCCCCGCCCCTTCGTTCTTCACCCTCCCACACCCACCTTTGGGCAAGCACGCGTCCCCAAACTACCTCTACAAGTACTAGCAAAGCGGTTTCGTAGGAGCTTATGTTCCGATGCCTTCCCACCTTCCGCTCCTTCCTTCCTTCACGCGCGCGTGTCGTTAAGACTCCAGCCCCCAGCCGGCTACACGGCCGGGCTCTGGAGTCTTGAGCGGCTGGCGCGACGCGCTTCCCGCTGGGAGTGGTAGTTCCGCCCGACGGCTGGCGTCACGCCCCCGGCCCAGCGCAGGGCGGATTTCTGGTCCGAGCCTGCCCCTGTGCCAAGGCGGAGAAGCTGTTTCTCCGACTCAAAGTCTCATTGGGTATCGCACGACGGGAAGGAGCGGCGCTGCCATGACAGACGAAAAAGGAAATAAAAATGAAAGGCTATCGCGACTAGAAGAATTCGCTGTGAACCCATCCTGCACGGGAAGCTAAGCCATAGGATGGCTGGGAACCAGAAAGCTAGACTACCTAGAATCTGGGGAACGGAGAAACTGGCCGGCGTGGGCCCCTTAAGCTCCCCTATTAGTTGTCTTCGGGAAGGACGCCCAAATTGCCTGGTGCTGTTTCCTTTCATAGACTGAAATGGAGGCCCAGAGAAAGGAAGGGACTTGCCCAAGGTCACACAGACAACAAATAAAAGTTAAGGCGAGAGGAATGGGAGGAATGATCTAACTTCTCGGATCACCACCAAGCCCAGGGCTCCTATCACTACACCTTTCGTGGGAGTGCAAATACTCCCCCTTGTGCTCTTTATTTCTCAATGAAGGTTTCCAGGTCCTAGCAAAGAGAATGGAAGTACAAACGGGTTTTATTTCCCCTATAAATAAGATTAGTAGTTCAGGACCCTAATGCTACGTGAGATGTGCCCCGTTGAACCTAGATACCCTGTTGTTTTGCAAAGTAAAAGATGAGTTCCAGAGATGGCCAGCAATTTAGCCAAGTCACACTTGGCCTAGACTCCAAATCTCTCCTACCTTCCTCCACCGCCATTACTGTTTCAGTAGTTTCACCCTACCTTCCCAAACTCTCCGAGGCCGATTCTGCTGGCTCAGAAACCTGGAATAGAGAGACAAGGACCGTTCTGGTACCCCACAGACTTCACAAGCCGTCTTCCACCAGAATTAAGATTTTAAACGAATGGCCCAAGACGGAAAGCCGGGCGTCGGAACCAGTTAGCACTGGTCAAGTCCCCACCCGGACTCATTTTTGTCGGTGCTCAGGAAGTGGGGGGCTGTCTAACCGCACTTGCCGGAAGTGCCTTTCATGAGCACCTGGCTGTTCACGCAGCTCATCTTTTCATCTGCTGGCGCGACGCTGGCAAGTAAGTAGCAGGGCTGCTGTCACAAGTGCTGGTTGGGGAGGGGGCTCCAAGGGTTGGGAGTAGATAGAAGTCTTGGGCACTGCCTGGCAGCTTCCCGAGGATCTTTGCGTCCAAACTCCGCCTTCTTTTCTCAGAGGTCGGCTTTGAGGCTTGCAGTTCGAACTCTGTCCTTTGGGGCAGTGGAAATATTGAGCGTTTTCACCTAAGTTGAGCGGATTGACCCTTGGGTCTTTGTCCTTGATTACCTCACTAGTTGCCGTCCCCGGGCTTTACGCTATCATTGTTTTTTGCTTTAATACTCGTGAGTTGGAAAGCACGTGTCACGAGGCATAGGCTACTCCTAAGGTGGAGGGAGCGTTGAGATTTTAAGTGGAGTGGTCTGGAAAGCCCTTACACAAGCAATTTTGAGCAAAAGTCAGTGTGTGGGCCCGGCAGATATGTGTGTCTGGGAGTCCGGAAGTGGATGTGGGTGTCATCTAAGATCTACTCAAAGGCCCAGAATAACTTAATTCCTATTTGTTTCCTTATGTATAGAATAAAGACACTGACTGGTATACAGATTTCTTGAACCAGCCCTAAGATCTGTGATCAAGAATTTAGTTCAATATTTTTTTTAATTAAGCAGCAACTGTGGGTTTTGGATTTTTTTAGACACCTTTCTCCTGGTCAAGAGTAGGACTCATGCAAGACAGATCTGGAGTCACATTCTCACTCAGCCACTTACTGGCTGCTTACATTAGACAGGGTTCTTAACCATTCCCTCCTGTGTAAGGTGGGAATAATAGCTAATTTTTTTTGAGTGCTTACTTTGTGTCGGGACAGTTGTCAGCTCTTTACATTAACTCAATTTTTATGACGACCCTATGTGGTTATTATAATCCTTATTCCAAAAATGAGTGAACTGCACCATAGCAAGTTTAAATAGCTTGTGCAAAGTCACGTAGTAAATAAGTAGTGGAGCCAGGATTCCAACCCAGATTGTGTGACTCCAAAGTATGCACTCTTAACAGGCTACACTCTCTTATCACCAGCTGATGAGGTTATTGTGAGTATTAAATAAGTTAATGCATATAAAACACATAGTTGCAGTGCCTGGTTTACAGGTAAATTGTATTGATTGCTACCATTAGTATTTTGAGCTGTAAACTCCTAAGCTCCAAAATAGATAGCTAAGGGGAAAAAAGAGAACAGAGAACCTATGACCTTCAGTTTTAAAGATGAGAATACTGGCACTTCAAGCAAGCAATTTACCCAAGGTCACACAGCTGGGAAATGAGGTATTCGTAAAATCCAGATCTTCTGTCTTGGTGCACTAATCTTTCTATTACACCAACAAGCAAAAGCTAAATGAACGATTCAGAGAAGAAAAGGATCTATTTACTTAATGTGTTACTGATTTTTTGAAAACATTAATGATTGTTTTCAAAGGAAACTGTGTTATATGGAAGAAATTTTGCTGAGTTACTACTTTAAAAAAATTATGTATAAAATGAAGAAAATTAAGTGACATCTTGTACACAGCAGCATGCTTCTGATTCAGACCCCCCACTTAGCTGTAAAACTACATTAATCAGAACTGTCTGGCATCTTCCTGAGCAAGACTTTCAACTGGGCCCAGTATGCTTCACTTCATCAAGAAGTTTTCTCAAGCATCTTCAAAGGTTGGTTTATTCAGCAAATATTTGAGCACTACCTGCCTCGCTTTGCTGGGGCAATAGCAGTGAAAAAGAAGACAAAGATCCTTATTCTCTTATATTCAGATAAGGAGAGGAAGAGGTGGGTAAAATAAAAATAAGTAAAATATTTAATATGTCAAGTGGTAAGTGCTGTGGAGAACTATAAAGCAGGGAAGGAAAGCAGAGAGTGTCAACAATAGATTTAGAATTGCAGTTATAAACAGGGTGGTCAGAAATGAGGGAAGGGGCCATGGAGGTAGCTCAGGGAAGACCATTCTAGACAAATGGGAAAAAAGGCCTCAAGGTGGAATCATTCCTACCATTTTGAGGAATCACCAAGATTCTTAAATAACTGTTTCATTTTTTCTTTCATCCAACACTTTTTGAGTTACTGTTGATCTGTTCACTAGTTGAAGTCTGGAATCTGCTCACTAAAGCACAGAATCAGCAGGAAAGGTTATTACTTTGACCATGTACCATGAAAGGCACTGGAGATTTTTTTTTTAAGGCAAAGAAAAAAATATGGTCCTGGCTCTTGAGTCTGCTGAGACAGACAAGTAAACACACAATTTAATTCATTGTGAGAATTATGATGGGAGTGTGCATAGGGTACTTACTTATAGGAGCATTAAATCAGATTGGCGAAAGCTTCAAGCTGAATTTGGAAAGATAAGACGAGTTCCCTAGGTAGAAAAGTAATAAGCTAGAGTTCTAGGCAGACATGTGGAAAGGCACAGAGCTATGAAAAGTGTGCATTGTCTACAAAGCTAAACTGGAAGGTAGATTGCTTTTCTATACATAAAATAGCATTCCCACAGTAATTAGTGCTGCTGCTTTTGCAATTTATAAATAAAAAAGTTTAGCATGCCAAATACGAAAGACTTAGTCTTTACTTGTTCCTCTTTCAGATTTTTCTCTCACAGGGTAAGATTAGTGGTAGGCAGAAACATCACTGGGTTCTATTCAGTAGTTTCCTTTGCATGTTGTATAGCTGTTTAGTAGTCTTAGCCTGTGATATTTTCACCCTGTAGTCAGTTCAACCTTTCTGTAAAGTTCCATATGCCAACAGAAAGATATGGTTTGTTTTTATGTTGTTTCAAATTGGGATTAACTAAGACATTTGGTGATTTTTTTTTTAAATCTGTTTTTTCCTTCTGGTTCTATTTTCTCTATAGATGCTGAAGCACCCCTTCACAGTCGGACTAGGTGCCAGCAGGAGAATAGATACGTTTTCTCTCAAGACATGTCTCCAGCAGAACTTTTCCCCTTTGTTTCCAAGGACTTGGCTTTTCCCAACATTTCCAGTGTGTATGAGCAAGACACAATACTATCATACTTCCCCGTGCAGCTTTAAGAAGAAGCAGAAGCAAGCAGTAGTTCCAGCCAGGTCCCCGAGCACCATGACTTACCTGCCTGACAGCCCAAAGCCAGCATTATATATAACTCTGGCAGGACTAATCCCCTTCATTGCTCCACCACTGGTCATGGTGACGACAAAGACTTATATCCCCTTATTAGCTTTTACTCAGATGGCTTATGGAGCCAGTTTCCTGTCTTTCTTGGGAGGGATCAGGTGGGGTTTTGCTCTGCCAGAAGGTAGTCCAGCCAAACCAGACTTCCTCAATTTAGCTAACAGTACAGCTCCTGTTTTGTTTTCATGGTTTGCCTTCCTTATTTCAGAAAGACTCAGTGAAGCTATAGTCACAGTAATAATAGGTTTGGGGATAGCATTACACTTTGAACTTTTTCTCTTGCCACATTATCCCAGTTGGTTCAAAGCCCTGAGGATAGTAGTCACTTCAGTGGCTTTTTTGTCATTTTTAATCACTTTACTAGTTAAAGATATTTATCCAGAGAAAGGACCCAAGAGACCAGGTCAAGCAGAATAAATATAAAACTATGAGGATGATGTTAGCATGCTGGCTACAAGCCTTGTAAGGTTGTGTTTTGACATCACCTTTCTGTACTTCTCCTATTTGGCTCTTTTTTCCCACCAATGGTAATTTATTCTTCACAGATTATTTTTCATTTCTAGAAATCTTTGTTTCATAGGAATTACTTAAGCAACAGCTTGAAAACCCATAATAAGTCCTTTTCATGTAATATTAGGTTACAGTTCTCATTCAGTCTTTTTATGAATTATGCAGTCATTCACTTAAACAGTTCAGTGTTTTAATTGTTTTGAAAAATGCAAAATGATTTTTAAAAAGATGAAAAATCCCTTTTGCTAGAGCCTTGTGATCACTGGAAAAAAACACACACGATTCTCCCACTTCAAGAGGAAAGGTTCGTATCCATGAGTGTCTAAAAATAATAGGTGGTTCCAGTGTGGAGTTTTCATTGCAGTTGCCTCTGGGCATTGCATTTCCAAGCTCATTTTACCTGGTATCACCTAGTTATATGAGCTGAAAGATCTGTGGCTCTAAAGTCAGTAGGGAGTGTCACAAGGAGAAGCCATGTTCAAAGAAAAGCTGGATATATTTTCCAGTTTTTATCAGGATATTTGGCAGAGTATTGATGCAACTTATCTCCTAATCATGAAACAGAACACCAGCTGGTCAAAAATAGTTAAAAGAATAAAGCCACTAGTACATATAAATTAGGAAAAGTCAAGCTGGAGCCACCTTGATGTTGTAAAGAGCAGGGCCATCTAGTTTTACATGTTGACTCAGAGAAGCCTTTTACAATCTTTTTTTTTTTTAAAAGATTGGCACCTGAGCTAACATCTGTTGCCAATGTTTTTTTTCCCCAAGCCCCCCAGCACGTAGTTGTATATTCTAGTTGTGGGTCCTTCTGGTTGTGCTATGTGGGACGCTGCCTCTGCATGGCCTGATGAGCGGTGCCATGTCCGCACCCAGGATCAGAACCAGCGAAACCCTGGGCCACCGAAGCCAAGTGTGCAAACTCAACCACTCTGCCACAGGGCTGGCCCCAGAGAAGCTTTTTTAAAATGGCAAAAGCAACACCCTGGATTCTAACTTGAAAAGCTAGTCTCTTGGGAGTCTTAGTCTCATAAAAAAGGAAAAACATTTTAAATGGTGTAAGAATATAAATCAGGAAATGGTATCACCTGGTATGTGTTATTTTTGCATAATATACGTATTCAAATATTAGTTAAGTTAAATTTCATAAGTAAATTATATACATGTGATTTCTACTCTAGTGATTCTTGCTGTGAAGAGATCAGGATCTAGAGTGGTAACATGTTTATTTTCTTACACACTTGTTATGGGTTGAGTTACATGTTGAAGTCCTAATCCTCAATACCTCAGAATGTGTCCATATTTGGAGATAGGGTCTTTATAGAAGTAATAAGGTTAAAATGAGGTCATAACAGTAGGCTGTAATGTAATATTACCAGTGTTTTTATAACAAGGGAAAATTTAGAGACAAACACATACAGGGAGAACGGCATGTGAATGTGAAGATTGCCATCTACATGCCAAGGAGAGAAGCCTGGAACAGAGCCCTCCATCTTAGCCCTCACAAGGAACCAACTCTACCAACACCTTGATTTCAGACTTCCAGCCTCCAAAACTGAGACAATAAATTCTGTTGTTTAAATTTCTGTGGTAATTTGTTACAGCAGCCCTAGCAAACAAATACACTATCGAGCTAGACCTTGTTCTGATCATTGAGAACCTTACCAGTTAAAGCCCATGGCTGCAACCGCCACACGATTCTTTATTAATGTAGAGAATAGTTTATGACGCCTGATAGTGAAGGAAAGAAAGCTCATACTCTTCAGATGATCTTTCACAGATTCTACTCATTAAGTGTTCCGGCAAGGAAACTCACTTTTCTTCTCCTAAACTGCATGAAGACTATACAAACTTAAAACTTTTCTCTGATCTCAACTAAATTCATTATCTTTCAGAATAGGGGCAAGTCATATTTTTAGGCTAATTGCCCAATTTCACTAAGCAAATATAGGTGAATGCATTTTGCACGTGAATTTGCAGCGTATGATTCTTTAAGTACATTGGACAGGATATTTAGAAACATACTGAATTGTCGAATATTTTGGAGGAAGAGCATGTTAACAGTTGCTCAGAAAACAGAAATTAAATATAACACTAAATGTGCAAGTCCATAACGTTAAAACACTAAAAAACATGGGCAATCCTAGTACAGTTTGGTAATTCAGCAACACTACTAATAAACTAAAGTAATACAAGGAAAATCAAAAATCGAGATACTTTATTAGTACATTCTTTTTAAAACAATCTGTCATTACTTAGGAAATAATAAGCATATTTACAATTACCTATTTTCAGGGATTGTCTGCATCTATTAAGTGCAAACACTGATTGTCTTGACATTACATTTCTGCCACAGCATACAAAATGCCTCCCTTCACAGTGCCATTTTAGGTTGGGACCACGTAATAATGGTGCCAATTATATAATGGCTTCAATTATAGGAGCATTTTATAAAGCTCTTTTGAACCAGAATGCAGATTCTCTGTAACTAGAAATATTAAAGGCACATGAGTTAGAGCTTAAATAATCTACAAATCATCTTGATACTTCATTCCTTGACATTTTACAGATACCAACCAGGCATCTGTGACCCTTCAGACTCAGGATGCCCCAAAGAAACGGACACAGAGCTTTCTGTCTGTAGTACCTAAGCTTTTCTTAATACATGCATATGGTTAAGTTATGAAAGAAAGTATCCTTGTGGGCCAATCCAAATATTTTGGATATGAGTGCAACCTGAGTCTAATGCTTACCAAAGGTTTTCTATCTAAATAAGCTGCTGATGCCTGTAACAGTATGTTGAAGGACTTTAGTAAAGAAGAGAGGAAATCAGGGATATACAAATCAAATCCTGGAATCAGCAGGGAAACCTAAATGTATGAAAGACCTTTAATAGACATGGCTCCAACTGAGTAGTAGAAATAACAGAAGTGATGATCATGTACATGGAGAAACTTCCTCTCAGAAGCAGACAGAGAACAATTCTTTAGAATGCTTCTCAGGGGGAAAAGAGAAGTTTTGGATCAGAGGTCTTTCAACTTAGACTTATGAGTCAGTGTCTATAAAAAGTTTCACAGGTACCTACAATTCCACCTTCTCCAAACCAGGCAGTAGCTTTGTAGAAAGCTCATACTTCGGCTTGCCCAAGTACAAGTAGGCTTCTCAAAGCTTGATAATCTAATACAATGCTCTCTTCCCAAAGCCAAACATATTTTTGGTGACTTTAGAAAATAGGGAAGAAATTTACTAGGCACATACCACCTGCTGGGCTCTATCACCCATTACATCATCCTATTGCAATAAAGGACTATCTCTAAAAACCTCCTATAAATTGCTCATTTGCATTCTCAGCATGAAGACAGAAAACATAAGTGAGCAAAAGCTTTTTTAATGCTGTTATCACCAGGTGAAAACTTATCTATCTAAATAAATTGCTGGATATTTCCCACATGTCCCTCCCAGTATATATGCTGCCAATAAAAAGTTTGGGGCTAGTGAACACTCCTGGCCATCAAAAGTAGGAAGTTGTTTCATTGGCTTTTCTCTGTAGGTTAAACTATGGCTACAGAAAATTGTGCTCTGGATTGAATCATGAATGTACAGATATCTTTAAAGTGTCTCACTGATAGTCTTTTATCACATAAGGGTCATGTTACAGCTTGAATTGCACTGGAGAAGCATTTAGAGGGGCTATTGCCAAGAAGCTTCTAGCAAATCATTTTTACAAATAGGACTCTACCCCTAACTGGAGTAGAGCATAAACAGCATTTCTGTCGGTAGAGTTGGCAAATTTTTGTGAGCTCTTCATTGATTTAGGATATATACCATATCCTTTCTTACTTAAATTCTTAGAAGAATCATTCTTTAGTTATTTATCTACCAAAACATGGAAAATTCAATAGAATCAGAGGGTCCTGTCACCAAATACATATGTGATTTGCAAAAGGTCAGATTCTGTATTTTGAAAATGTTTCTTGTGCTCTCTTATGCTTTACATTTCATAATACAGCAACACCTCCTTCACAACGACTGGTGATCATGTTACCGATTTCTGTCCATGTATCTGAATGAGGGTTATAAACTTCAACTGAGTCCAAGGTACCTGGGGCCAAGAAATCATGGCTGGAAGATCGACCTCCAGAAACATACAGAAGTCCATTGACTGCCACAACACACATGCCTGCTCTGGGCACTTTCATTGAGGCAACTTCAACCCACTTTTCCTGGGTAAGAGAAAAAAAAAAGTGTCATAAAATGATAATAGAGAAAACTGCTGAGAAATCAAATACTCTGGTTCTTTTTGCACATTTAAATTCCAAACTTACAATTCAATTTGCCATAAAGTATGTAGAACCTTTTTTTTTGGTGGGGGGCGAGACGGGGGTGGGGGTGAGGAAGATTGGCCCTGAGCCAACATCTGTGCCAATCTTCCTCTTTTTGTATGTGGGATGCCTCCACAATGTGGCTTGATGAGCGGTGTGTAGGTCGGCGCCTGGGATCTGAGCCCATGAACCCTGGGCCACCAAAGCATAGCATGCAAACTTAACCACCACGCCACTGGGCCAGCCCCAATATAGAATATTTGTAAATGAACTTTTGAGTAGGTATAGACAAAGCAGTGAATTTAGAAGAAAATAACTGAAAAACATGTCTGTGATTAATTATAAATTATGATCAGGAGATAATCTAGAAATTCTATATAGGCAGGCATGCTGAGAAACTAGTTCTATGGTATGCAAGTAGGTAATACAACCATGCGTGCGCGAGCATACACCACACACACATATATACAACACCCACATACACAACACAAACCCACAAAGCTCCAAGGAAAAAAACTTATATACAGAGTGCTTTTAAAATTCTTTAATATGCTAATGAGCCTTATAAATCTCCAAGAGAAACAACACTTGCCAAATTTATTTGACCATGGAATCCTTTTTACAAGGACCATCTAGTGGAGTTAGTGGTCTGCAAAATATATTTTCAGAAAGGTAGTATAGATAGGGGTTGGAGACTATAGCTATTTTTGTAAGCCTACAAACTAAGAATGATCTTTCCATACTAAAAGGTTATTTTAAAAAACAAAAAAACACTATGCCAAAAAAAGAGATTGTATGTGGCCCAAAAGGCCTAAAATATTTACCATCTGGCCCTATAACAAAAAGTTTGCTAACTCCTATATACACTGTTCCCTGAAGAAACTTCAATAAGCTGCTATCGCCTAAATGACTCATAATGTCCTACTCCAGGGAAAATGTCTACACCCAGAAAACAGAAAAGCTAATAAAGCTTCTGAGAAATAATCAAGAGAGAAAAGAGCAAGTAGCCAGATTAAAAAAGAATCTGGAAATGATGAACAAAGCCTAAGAAATCATAAAAGGTAAACACTGATTATTTATCCATGCTAGAAAGTGAACTTTTTGAGGACAAGGACTTAATGAGCTTCATATCCTAGTACCCAGTATAGCACCAGCATATTATAAACAGCCAATTTATGTTTGCTGATCTGAACGTAAATGAAATTCTGAAACACTAAAACCAGGGACAATCCTTTGAAAATTGAAGCACAATATTACATTTGAAGGCTATTTGATTATCTGAAATTTGCAGAATCCATCACAAAGTTGGAATAGCTGAAAAAATACTCATTTTAAAAGACAGATATATTCACAAAAATATCCATAGCTGGTTAACATAAATTAGGATGTTGGCGTATGTTTATCATTAGGGAGAATTAACCTTTGCTCCTCCGCACAAAATGGCTCTTGACATATTAAGGAAACCATGGGGCTCATCCCATAATGTTTATTTTTCATTTCTATCACTGTATTAGAACTACAGTTTGCTTTTTATCCTGAGTCATCTCAAAATAAACTCTGTAAAACCAGAAACAAGTTTTACACTATCTTTAGGGTTTGGTCTATAATGTAGGACTTTAGTAGATGGTAAATAACAATAATATTTCAGAATTATGCATGAAAAACCAAGGTAACTCATTACTAATAAGCACTTACTTTGGAATGAAAACCTATTCATTTCCAGTCTTATAGAAAAGTAAGCAACAGAAAATGCCCTCAGAGAGTTCACTTTGTATATTCCCAAATAAGATCATATAGAAGGTGAAAGGAATTTGAAATACCACCAAAGTTTGAAAGTTGTCAGAAATGAAAATCAAAATCACACTTTAAAACAAGACAAGGATTCCACTCTTGCCACTTCTATTCAACACTGTACTGGAGGTCCCAACCAGGGCAATTAGGAAAGAAAATGAAATAAAAGGCATCTAGATTAGAAGAGAAAAAGTAAAATGATCTTTATTTATAGATGACATTATCTTGTATACAGAAAATCCTAAGGAATCCCCAAAAATCTATTAGAGTATGAGTGCTGCAAGGGTTCAGGATATAAGATCAATAGACAAAAATCAATTGAACTTCTATATAGTAGCAATGAAAAAATATGAACATGAAATTTAAAAATTCAACTTACAATAGCATCAAAAGAAATACAATACTTGGCAATAAATTTAACCAACAAACTGCAAGGAACTGAAAACTATAAAACATTGTTGACACAAACTGAAGAAGACCAAAATAGATGGAAAGACATTCCATGTTCAAGATAAAAAGACATAATATTGCTAAGATGGTAATACTCCCCAAATTGATCTCAGATTTAATGTAATCCCTATCAAAACTCAGCTGGCTTCTTTGTAGAAACTGACAAACTCATCCTAAAATTCATATAGAATTCAAAGGACACAGAATAGCCAAACCAACTTTTAAAAAGAAGTACAAAGTTGGAGGACCCACAATTTCTGATTTAGAAACTTAATACAAAGCTACAGTAACTAAGACAGTGTGGTCCTGGCATAAGGATAGATATGTAGTAAATGAATGGAATTTAGAGTCCAGAAATAAGCCCTCACATTTATGGTCAAGTGATTTCTAACAGAGGCTCCAAGATAATCCAATGGGAAAGAATAGTCTTTTCAACAAATGGTACTGGGGCAACTGGTTTACCTACCTGTCAAAGAATGAAGGTGAATCCCTACTCCAAACCATATACAAAAATTAACTAAAAAGTAATCAAAGACCTAGAAATAAATCTAAAACTATAAAATTCTTAGGAAAAAGCATAGGCATAAATCTTCATGACCTTGGATTAAGCAATGGTTTCTTAGTTTTGACACCAAATGCACAAGTGACAAAAGAAAAAATAAACTTGACATCAAAATTAAAAACTTTTGTGCTTCTAAGGATACCATAAAGAAAGTAAAGAAAACCACAGAATGGGAGAAAATTTTTGTAAATCATATATCTTACAAAGGACTTGCATTTAGAATAGAGAACTCTTAGGAAAATTCAATACTAAAAAGCCAATCCAGGGCCCAGCCCCGTGGCCGAGTGGTTAAGTTCACGTGCTCCGCTTCAGCGGCCCAGGGTTTTGCCGGTTCAGCTCCAGGGCGTGGACCTAGCACCACTCGTCAGGCCACGCGAGGCGGCATCCCACCTGCCACAACTAGAAGGACCCACAAGTAAAATATACAACTATGTACCGGGGGTTCTTTGGGGAGAAGAAGGAAAAATAAAATCTTTTTTTTAAAAAAAAAAGACAATCCATTTTAAACTGGACAAAACAAATAGATTTTTCCTCAAACAAGATATAAAATAACCAACAAGCACATGAAAAGATGCTTAACATCATTAACCATCAGGGAAATATGAATCAAAATCACAATGAGATACCAATTCACACCTGTGAAGACAGCTATGATCAAAAAGAGGGGCTGGCCCCATGGCCGAGCGGTTGAGTTGGTGCACTCCACTTCGGCGGCCCAGGGTTTCACCAGTTCGGATGCTGGGCACGGACATGGCACTGCACATCAAGCCATGCTGAGGCGGCATCCCACATGCCATAACTAGAAGGACCCACAACTAAAAATATACAACTATGAAAAAAATATATATATATACAACTATGTACCAGGGGGCTTTGGGGAGAAAAAGGAAAAATAAAATCTTTAAAGAAATCTTTAAAAAAAAGAGAGAGAAATAAGGGGCCAGCCTGTGGCATAGTGGTTAAGTTTGGTATGCTCTGCTTTGGCAGCCTAGGTTCACGGGTTAGGATCCCGGGTGTGGACTTACACCACTCGTCAGCCATGCTGTGCTGGTGACCCATATATAAAATGGAGGAAGACTGGCACAGATGTTAGCTCAGGGCTAACCTTCCTCAAGCAAAAAAATGAAGATTGGCACCAAATGTTGGCTCAGGTCTAATCTTCCTTGGCAAAATAAATAAATAAATAAACAATAACATAATAACAAGCATTGGATGTGGAGAAATTGGAACCCTCATAGACTGCCAGTGGTTATGTAAAATGGTGTAGCCACTTTAGAAAACTATCTGGCAGTCCCCAAAAAGGTTAAACATAGAGTTACCATATGATCCAGCAATTCCACTCCTAGGTATATACTGAAGAGAAATGAAAACATATGTTGACACAAAAATGTGTACATGAATGTTCACAGCAGCATTGCTCATAATAGCCAAAAAGTTAAAACAACTCAAATGTTTGGTGTGTCAATTATATCTCAATAAAACTATTTCTAGCATAATTTAGTCAACCCAGTAACTGAGGGCATGAAAAAAACATTAGGGAGCTCATATGGGCAGTAACAGGATGGGTAATACGCAGAGGTGGCAGATGAAGAAGACAACTGGTGTGGTAGGGAGATTTGTTTCATTTAACAAATTAGTAAATTGAATGAACAAGTAAGTAAATATATTGAGAACAACGGGAATAAAATTTTAATTGACAGAGAAGGTATTTACAAACATGGAAAGGGGAAAGGCCTGAAAGAATCTGATATGTTGTACTGGAATTGGAACTATCATTATGAACTGACGGTTTTATAACATACATGCACAGATATAGAAATACTTATAAATGAATATGTGTGTGAAAATATACACACATATTCATACATATTTCCTAGCTCTGTTTACTCAGAATGCCTAGAAGCAGCAATACCCCAGTAGCAATAAAGTACTCTGAGTGTCTAGATCTTCGTTTTTAAATACTGTCCTTCAGTAAGACGAGCTGGAGCTTCTTGGAGAAATGGCTGATTCCAGGGCTGGAGCAGAGATCTCTGTACAAGATGAGCCTGAAAGATTTTATTATGCTAGAAAGTAAAGAAATGCTCAATGAATAATGGAA